ATCTAATAGAGTTAATGAAGATTTGTACCTGGATTTGGCCGACTTTCAATCTGTTTTGTCTGGAAGTCTGGATGACAATTTATTGATTGGTAAGCATAAAATTTTTTAGATGTTTCATGCTATCTCGAGTGTATTATATACTAATGTAAACATATACCTGTTTTAGCAGATGTTCTTGGACAAGTTATGGATTGTGGTCTAGTCGAAACCATTCAGTGTGCTGGAGGAAAGCAACGAAAAAAGCTTGAGTTAACTCTAACTGACATAAAGTAAGTCAAAGCGCTTATGGTGTGCTCATTAACCAAGATTATATCACTAACCATATCTTAACTTATATTCGTAGTGATTCACGTTCACCCTGCTGCATCTGGGGCAACTTGGCCGAGAAACTCCATTCTACAATTAACCAAGAAGATGGAATGGTTACTATGTTGCTGAGGTTTGCTAAGCTTGGTAAATTTAGAGGTACATATTTACACTCAGTCAATTTTGATACAAACTAATTCTGCATAAAAGATTCATTTAGATGTATCGTTTTTTGTACCTTATAGGAGAATTGCAGATCTCTAATGCATTTGATGCTTCTCAAATGATGATCAACCCTCCAATACCTGAAATTATCAGTTGTTTAACATGGGGTTCAGTTCTCGGAATTTTCAGTTGTTACTTTTTTTATCAATAAAAATAAAACCATTTAATTATTCAGATTAATCAAAATCATATGATTTTGTTATTCACTTATAGTTAAAATAAATTTTTATTCAAAAAAATGTTCAAAAAAAACAAAAAGTAAAAACAACAAAAAATAGAAAAAAATTATTCAAATAAACAAAAATGTAAAAACAACAAAAAAATATCCGCGCTTTTTAAGCGCGGGTCAAAATCTAGTAACTCATTATAATTGATTTATTTATAATTGAAGTTACGATCATCGAAAGAGAGAATAATAAGGAGTCGGAGATGGCGGATGCTCTGCGGGCGCTGTTGGATATTATTTGTGTTTTGTTTGCTTGCTTTTTAATGGCTTCACCATATTATTATATATCTATTTTCATGATTTATTTATTTATTTATTGCAGGGGAGGAAATTGCAGTATATGGGCATATCCCGACNAATTGAAGTTACGATCATCGAAAGAGAGAATAATAAGGAGTCGGAGATGGCGGATGCTCTGCGGGCGCTGTTGGATATTATTTGTGTTTTGTTTGCTTGCTTTTTAATGGCTTCACCATATTATTATATATCTATTTTCATGATTTATTTATTTATTTATTGCAGGGGAGGAAATTGCAGTATATGGGCATATCCCGACACCAAATCCAACTTAGTATATATAGCTCTTACTATATTACCGCGGAAGTAAAGGATCTTGTGGATGATTCAGTTCACTTTGTCCAGAGCTCAGTCGCAAAATCTTATACCATGAACGGAGAGCATTTAAGAGTCTACACTGCCATCTGCAGACTAAAACCCGAGAAACCAGGTAACTATTAGTGACATCTTCTACTGACCTTAAACTTGGTAAAAAATGCTTGGATTTATCATCTTTAAAAATTATTTTAGGTGAAGAAGGCGACATGGCTCACTTGAGAGAGGAAGCTGTAGATGAGCATTACAAAGGGTCCTATGCCCAACTTTTTGTCCGAACCAAAACCTGATGATGATAGGCTGAGATTCTACGAGGTAAAATCTTGCTCTTCGTACGCACTTTTTTATGTGTGTGTTTTCCAGGTTCAGGAGCAGGACATATGTGAAAATGATTGGCTTCGTCTGTATACTGATTTCGCACTTTACTGCTACTGGCAGTACCATGAGGTATTATATAATGAGAATCATGATGATGTTTTGGCATTCATCTTTTGCAATTTTTTTATGAAGCTCTTTTTTTCTTCCAGGACACATTCAAGTCTTGCTTGCCTGCGGAGATAACCAAAGTACTTGTGGAAACCTTTGAAACTCATACAGACCCGTCTCTGAAGCTCAAGTCTAGTAATGTTATCTTCCACATCAACTTCACCGCCAAGAGCTGTGACTACATATCGGTTGTCAGGAGGACAAGGGATGGCCACTCAGGGCATATAATACTCCAAATTAGTACTTGGACGGTCCAAGGTGGACCAACCCAGCAAGCTCCCCGTTATCCGGAACCGGCGACCATACTTTTTTCTTGTTAGATGAACGTTGCTTTGTTTTTTTTTTTTTTTTTGAATGAATGTTAAATTTTATTCAATCCAAAAAAAAATCCTTCTTAGATTTACAATGCTACCATCCTCAGATAGTTTTTATTCTACTCAGCAAAGATTAACAAAGCTAAAAAACTCATAACTCAAGAGAATCAAGTAGCTGATCTTGTGGAGAACCAATATTGGAGTCCCTCTGCCATTCCATTGTCTCCAGCCCTTTAAATCGATAGGAGTCTATTTCGAACCCCTCTATCAATATTTCTGATTGTACTACTCGGTGGCATTGGTACTTCTCCATGTCTCTTACTATTCCTCTCCAACCATATCCCACAAATAGCAGCTTGAAACACATACTTCAACGTGAACAACTTAATAGACCTCTGGCTTGTGGAAATCAGAGAAATAATTTCCGACCATTTACTTGTGTACTCATCTTCCATCAAACCTCCCACATGATTTTTCCAAACTTCTTCAGAGTATCTACAATCAAAAAATATATGGCTTTGTGTTTCCATTGGCTCATCACAGAAAACACAAGCCGTATTTGCATTCCCTCCCCATCTTAGCATTCTATCTTCTGTAGACAGCCTGTTATGAATTGCAATCCAAGTAAGGAAAGAAAATTTTGGAGTAGCATAAGTGAACCAAACCACTACACTCCAATCACAGCTCACACCTTGAGATCGCAGGATATTCCAAGTTGATTTAGAAGAGAACTTGTTCTTATATTTACCTTCCTTTTGCTTCCATAAGCCAATATCATCATCACTTGATATCTTCTCTTTACATTTCATAATTTCTTCTTCTATCAAGTTCAGAAACGGGAGTCTGTGCCTTCTTCTTCGACGTAGAATCATCTCTTCCTCAACTGTTGCATCCTGCTTAATACCCATATCAATATAACCTCTCAGTCCTATGATATCAATGAGACAATCCAGGACTGACCAAGACTCGTTCCAAAAAGAAGTTTGCTTCCCACTGTTCACTTTCACCTTGTAAAACCCTTTTGCTTTGGTTCTATACTTTAAGATCTTACTCCACATCCACGAACCAGCTTGAGTAGTTTCTCTCACTGACCAAAAAGAAGCTTTACGAATCAAGTAAGCTTGAATCCATCTCACTCACAAAGAGTTCTTAGAAGCCAGAATTCTCCAAATAAGCTTCATACAGCTTAAATTATTCATTTCCTTCAATGGTCTTATACCCAATCCACCTTCAGACTTTGGTTTACAAACTTCTGTCCATGCGATTTTTGCTTTGTTTGTGCTCAAAGCAGGACCTGACCATAAAAAAGCTGAGTAAATCTTCTCAATTTTGCTAAGGCATGAAGCAGGAAGCCGAAAAGCAAATAACCAAAAGCTTGCCAGACTAGAGATTACTGATTGAATAAGCTGCAATCTACCTCCAAAAGAAAGACACCTTCCTGTTCAAGAACTGATTTGTGACCTTTTCTTCTCTATCAATGGTAGAAAATCATTGACAGTCATTCTCTTCGTGTGCAATGGCAATCCCGAACAGGTGAAGTACCTTTATCAAAAGGGAAAACCAGAAGATCATCTCCATTGTGTCTGATTCCAGCCATATAGAGTGTAGACTTCTCTATATTTATCTTTAGCCGAGATCTTCTATAAATCATTGAACACCTCCAAAATACCCTCAAAAGATCGTTTGGTACCATCAGAAAAAACCATTAAGTCATCTTCAAAGCACAGATGTGTTAGGTTGATGTTTTGGCACCTATGATGATAACCAATCTTTTTTTTCCTCTGCTGCAACGTCAATCAGCTTAGATAGGACGTTCATATAAAGAAAAAATAAGTAAGGCGACAGTGAGCAGACTTGTCTTAATCCTCTTGTACTCTGAAAATAACCGGCTAATTCCTCGTTCACTTGAACCAAAAAAGAAGCAGTACTTATACAAAGGTTATGAAATTATCTTGAAAACCGAGAGCCTTTAGAGTGCTAAGAAGGAATGGCCATTGAACTGAATCGAAGGCTTTTGAGATGTCTATCTTCATACAACACCTTGCATAATTCTCTTCTTTATGGTAGTCTTTACCAACTCAGTGGCAAGCAAAAGATTCTCCATGAGAAGTCTATCACTTATAAAAGCTGATTGGTTAAGAGAAATGATCTTTGGCAAGATACCCTTCAGTCTGTTTGCCAAGATCTTTGAAATCACCTTATATAGCACGTTACAACACGATATGGGTCTATAATTTTTCATTTCCTCAGCATTATCCTTCTTCGGTATCAAGGCTAAGATTGTAGAATTCAAACCTTTCGGTAGGAATCCCTTAACAAAGAAGGATTGGATTGCGACTGTAACATCCCTTCCAATAACCTCCCAAGCAGCTTTAAAAAATCACTTGTGTAACCATCCGGCCATGGTGATTTATCCGTTGGCATACTAAAAATGACCTTTTTTACTTCCTCCTCTGTGACATCCCTCTGCAGCTGAGACTGCTCTAACTCACTACAACTATAACTCAGCAGATCTTGCAGTCTTTCCACTGATATTCCCTCAAACTCCGGAGGTTTTTGTGTAAGAAACTCATTAAAATACCTCTATGCTTCTTTTTAATTTCATCTCCTATAACTACATCACAATCACTCTTTCTCAGTTCATGTATAGCATTCCGAACCTCCCTCAGTTTCACTGCATTGTGAATGACTTTGGTATTTTGATATCCCACAGTGAGCCAATGTAACTTGGACCGCTGTTTTAAAAACTTCTCCTCCAAATCTGCTAATCTCTGCCATCTTCTAAGAGCTTCCATTTATGCTTTTATTGTTTCAACAGTATGATTCTCCATAGTTAGCTTCTGTTTCTCATAAAGATCCTCAAAAGCTTCTTTCCCTCCCCTTTCTAAATTTCCTAGCTTCCTCTTGCTCAATTCTCTTAATGGGAGTTTTAGAGCCTTGAGCTTCTTTGTAAGCCGAAACAGAGCTGAAGTAGATAGAAACAGAGGAGCAGGAACAACCCAGCATTCTCTAACCAATTTTTCAAACTCAGGCATCTTCCCAATTTCATTAGTAAACTTGAAAGGTCTCCTCTTCTGACTTTCTTCCAGCTTAGTTTGTGTTCTACTTCAAAGGTGATCAGAGCAGTCCCCCGAGTAACACTATAAATCTGATGAAACTTATGCATCCAAATATCATTCCCCAAAACTCAATCAAGTTTCTTGCAAATAAGCCCTTCCTCTCTCTTATTGCACCATGTAAACAACGGCCCATGATAGCTGATATCAGACAAACAGCAATGCCTAAAGACTCTCATTCCTCCTGATATGCTTGGATCATTGTCATATCGTGAATGCTCTCTTCCTTCCAATCCTTCATTAAAATCTCTCATAACGATCCATGGTTTGTTTCTGAATATAGGAGCATCCTGATGATTACAGATATCCTCCCACAACCCTCTTCTTTCCTCAACTGTATTTCTAGCATACCCAAATGAGCAAAACAAATTCCTCCTCCATCCCTTGAATTTTCATTGAAACCGTTATAAGCTGATTACTTTTGAAAACCGGAGTCAATCTCACACTCGATTTCCAGATCACCCAAATTCTTCCCATCCCATCATACTCATAATTTGACATGAACCCAGTCTCTAAACAGTTCTGAAACTATTTTACTAGCCTTCCTCTCCTTCACTTTTGTTTCCAAAAGACAACTAAAACTCAACCCACTACTTTGACACCATCTACTCACTACAGAATGCTTTGTTGATTTGTTAAATCATCTAACATTCCAAGAGAAGCTATCCATTAATGATGGTTTTTTCGAGTACCTTTCCTCCTCGCATTGTTAGGTACAGAAACCTTGACAGCTTGAGTCCCTTCAGAAAGTATTTTATGTCTTGCCTTTGATTCTTGTGGCAAATTTTGCCTCTGAATCTGTATCTCCTATTCACCCTCCATCTCATTTTCTTTCTCATCCAAACTATTATCTTTCCTTTTTCCTTCATCAACTTCCTCAACCCATGAATCCTCCTCACATTTCTCTTTTATCTTATCATCCTTAACTTTATTTTCTTATTCTTCTGATATACCGGGTGCAGAATATCTCGAAAGGGTAGCTATATGTACTTCTCCATATTTTAGATTTTGATTCTGTTTAGCTGAACCCCTTCCTATCTTCCCTGGTGTTAAACATTCTTCCACATCCTGACCTTCCACCACCTCCCTCAATGGCTTACTTATTGACTCAGTAGTAATCTGCTCACTCTCTTTCTCTTTCAATGTTTTAGAGGATCTTCTATTCCCCCTTCTCAATATTTCCTTCCTTCTGTTCCATCCCTTCACTATTCTCCTTCTTTCCACATTTTTCTTCCAAATGGCCAAATTTCTCACATCTTTCACATCGATCTGGTAACCAAGGATAGCTGAACTCCACTTTAGTTTCTTCCCCATTTATCTTATAATCAATCTTCCTCGGCAGTGGTTCAGATAGGTTTGCTTTGACACAAACTTTTGCAACTTCAAANTCTGTTCCATCCCTTCACTATTCTCCTTCTTTCCACATTTTTCTTCCAAATGGCCAAATTTCTCACATCTTTCACATCGATCTGGTAACCAAGGATAGCTGAACTCCACTTTAGTTTCTTCCCCATTTATCTTATAATCAATCTTCCTCGGCAGTGGTTCAGATAGGTTTGCTTTGACACAAACTTTTGCAACTTCAAATTTGTGCAAGCAATTGTTTCTGGATGTAAAAGATCCGGGATTCCAGCTGCACTTGCTATAAAACTCAACCCCTGCCATGAGTACATACTCATCAGAACTTTCGTTAGATGTACCCATAGAGGAATCTGCTGTTTTGAGTCATCTTCTATCGGAGACAATTCCGATGCTACCATCAGAATCCATGCGATATTCCACATTCCCCTTCGTATAACTTTCTCACTCACCACTTCATTCGGAATCCTTACCCTCATAGTAGTTGCATCCATCTCAAACACATCCAGTTTCTGAGCTTTATCCCCAAAC